GCACCGAGTACCCCAAAATCATACAACAATCATGTAGACAACATGTTGTTTGCGTTTAGAGTTCCTCCTGGGGGTGTTCTTTGGACGGTCTTCGAGCGTCTGGTGGGTGTCTGAAGCCGCTCGAGGCTCTCGCGGTGCCGTCTGGACACCCTCCTGATCGCTTTGGGGTCCGCTGGCCAGGCCCGGCAGGGACGTGTGGGAGGTCGACGTCCCGGGGGGCCATCTGCCAGGGCGTCCGGGGGCTCCATGGGGTCAGGGATCCCGGGGGGGAGCTCTCAGTTTGGGGGGGGCATTCCCAGTAATAAAATACGAGAAGGAATAGGTATACTGAGATTGTTCTCCTCCGATGCTGCCCAGTGCGGGGGCCGCGTCTCCTCTTTCTTCTTTCCCCCTCTCCTTGGTCCTCCGTATCCCCTTCCTCCGTCCTTTTGCCTGACCCTTGGCCCCCAGGCGCTGCAAATACCACTCAAGGGTTACAGTCTCATTCGACACCCGGATTTGCGAATGGGAAGAGGCTGAGCACAATGGAAAAGGACAGGAGAGAGGGGTATGGTGCCAGCTGTGGCACGAGCGCGCCTATCTTGCTCCTCCCTCTCGTCTCTCCCCGCATCCCCTCCCCCCCTTCTTCCTCTCCTCCCCCCTCTCCCCGCCTTCCCTCTCCTCCCTGACAGTGTGGTGAGCACACCGCGTTGTGAGGAGGCGGGCGGGAGGGCAGACTCCACGTCGGATGGCCTCTCCCTCGGCGTCCGCGGGGCGCTGGCAGGGCCTGTCGTCGGCTGCGGGCCGCCGTTGCGCGCTGGCGCTGCCATGCGGGCGGGCCCCGAGCTCGTGGCGGTCGCCCTGGGTTCCCCTTCTGGCTCCCAGTGCGCCAGCCAGGGCGGCAAGAGCGTCTGCCAGCGCGGCGCCAGGCGTCGGTCGCCCTGGGCCCCCCTTCTGGCTCGGAGAGCGTCTGCCGGCGCGGTGCCAGGTGTCGCCGCTGCTGGGCGAAGTGCCCCGCGCCGGGGGCCGCGCGGCGGCTGCATGCCTGCATGCGCAGCACATCGCGCAGCTCTCGAAGGTCCTGGGCTGAGTCTTCGGGGGGGGGGGGATAGAGCGCCCGCGGCGGCGCGCGCGCTCGTGTCCGCACATCACGAGAAAACAGCCGAGGCCACTCTGTGTGCCGTCACAGGAATGATACGGAGGGGACTCGTGGGAATCTGCCCGTTGGCTGGAGCGGGCGCGACAATTCCAGGAGGCCGCGGTGGTCACCTGGCGCATTCGAAGAAAAGTACAGCACCATGTTTCGTGTATCGTCATCATCTCCACCATCGACTCCCGCACTCTCTGGTTATCCGTTTCCCTTCTCGTCCTCCAGCTCGGTATCCTCTTCGTCCCACTCCTCACCGCCTTATCATCATCACCACCATCAGCATCATCATCATCAGCATCCTCATCACCATCCTCATCGTCCTTCTCGGCCTCCTCGTTGGCTTCCTCCCCCGCCCTCCGTTTTTTCCTCCCTCCCTCGTCTCCCATCCTTTCCCCCTGCCCTCCCACCGCCCCTCCCTCCAAAACGTCCGCCCCCACATTCCGACCGCCCTCCATCCCTTGTTTTTTCTCGGCCTCTCCATTTATAAACAATAATATATGTACGACCACGCTTCGGGTGATAAGGAGGTTGTGGAGGGGAAAGAACCAACTGATGACACCATGCGGACATCCATCGGGACACCACGTGGACATCCATCGGGACACACCATCGGGACACCATGTGGACACCCGTCAGGACACCATCGGGACACCATCGGAACACCATCGGAACATCGGGAAGCCACCCCAAACCACCACAAGCCAACCGGCGAGTCAACCCCAGGCCACCGCCGGCCAAACGGGGGTATTCATGTGGCCTGGTGTCGCCCTAGAAACGGCGACGCCATCGGAACATTTTCGGAGCACCATCGGACCACCATCGGGACACTCCCGGGCCACCGCCCGCCAACCGGGCAAGTTCATTCCGCTCGCCCGCCCACGCAGCTCCGCCGTGCCCGCATGACACGAACACGAAACCCAAACCGATGTCCGAGTGTTGGGTCTCCGTAGACATATATATATATATATACATATGTATAGGGATGTGGACATGCACATACGTATGTATGAATGAATGGATGCATGCATGCATGTATGTACATAGGTATGTATGCATGCATGCATGTATGCATGCATGTATGCATGTATGCATGTATGCATGTATGCATGTATGCATGTATGCATGTATGCATGTATGCATATATGTCTGTCTGTCTGTCTGTCTGTCTGTCTGTCTGTCTGTCTGTCTGTCTGTCTGTCTGTCTGTCTGTCTGTCTGTCTGTCTGTCTGTCTGTCTGTGTGTGTGTCTGTCTGTCTGTCTGTCTGTCTGTCTGTCTGTCTGTATGTATGCATGCATGCATGCATGCATGCATGCATGCATGCATGTATGTATGTATGTATGTATGTATGTATGTATGTATGTATGTACCTGTATGTATGTAACTGTATGTGTGTAGATGTTTGTAAATGTGTGTGTGTGTGTGTATGTGTGCGTTTGTGTGTGCTTGCGTGTTAATGTATGTCGGAGTGGGCCGGGGGGGGGGCTGGGCCGGGGCCTGTACCCCCCATGGGCGCCCCCCGGGGGTTCTGGGACGGCCCAGGCCCGCCCCGAAACGGGCCACGACAGGCTAAGGGGGCCCCAAGAGGGCCCAAGACGGTCCTAAGAGGCCCCGAAGACGCCCAAGATGCTCTCAAGACGGCCGACGAGGACCCCAACACGCTCCAGGATGGCCTCAAGAGGCTCCCCAAAAGGGCCCTGGGAGGCAAACTTCATGCATCTTCCTGTGGTTTGGGGAGGATTTGGGCGTTCTCGCTTTTCCCGCTTCCCAACGCTCCCTCACGGCCTCGGAGGCCCTTCAGATCGCTCCAAGACGCCCCACGAGGCCTCGAAGAGGGCCCCAAGACAAACCAGGAGGCTCCCCAGACAGCCCAAGTGTGCCCCAAGAACGCCCCAAGAGGGGGCCCAGGCGGGGACCACGAACCGATATGTCGAGGTCTCTAGCCATAGAGGCCCCCAGTAGGCCCCCGGAGGATACCAAGAGGCTCCCAAGAAGCCCCGTGAGGCCCCCAAGAGGGCCCCAGTATGCCCCAAGAGGCCCCCAAGGGGCTTCCAGGGAACGCCCAAGAGGCCCCCCAACACATCCAACAAACCATGTCCCCAGAAAGACGTCCGGGGCCATGGTTCATCACGGGCCCGAGAGTCTCCGGAGACTCCGAAGCACCATCACGCTACCGGAGAGTTGTCTCGTAAGTTGACTGGGAACACGACTGATCGCCTTCTCTGCCGACGTCTGCCGACGACGAAGACGACGACGGCGGCGGCGGCGACGAAGACGACGACGAACTTCGAACTTCGATGTTCGAAGCGGTTGTTCGGCGCATTCTGCCTTCTGGGGCCGTTCTCGGGCCCTGGGGTCGTCGGGCTTCGATCTGGAGTGGAAAACTGCGCTGGATGGATCCTGGGAGGGGCCCATCCGACGACGACGACGAAACGAAGAAGACGAGGACGAGGACGAGGACGACGACGACGACGACGACGACGACGACGACGACGACGACGACGACGACGACGACGACGACGACGACGACGACGACGGCGCGCCCCCAGAGGCGACGACGACATTACGACGACGACGACGACGAAGACGACGACGACGACGACGACGACGACGACGACGACGACGGCACGCCCCAACAGGCTACCCAAAACGCGCCCAGAAACAATGTTCCCAGAAGGCCTTCGAACCCGATTCATCGGGCCTCTGCCCCCCTACGCAGCCATCTCCCCCGGAAGCCTTCTGGAGTGCGGATTGGCATGCGTGGACTTCTCACTGCCCAACGTGCGTTCAGCGTTATGAGCACTTCTTCAACATCTCACTTCTCACTTCTCACTTCTCCAACATGCGTTCAGCGTTATGAGCACTTCTTCACTTCCCGTTCAGACCATCCGTGGTCAATTGTTTCAATGGAGCGGTGAGCTCGTCAGGCCTGGGGCTTGCTAGAACCTGCGCGCGTGCGAAGCGCGCGTGATTCTGGCGTGGGTATACGCACATTTGTGCATATGTGTTCCTGTCTTTGTCTCTTTATGTTTCTATCTCTCTCTCTCTGTCTGTCTGTCTGTCTGCCTGGCAGTCTGTCTGTCTATGCGCATTTTTCTGTTTTTTTATATGTCTCTCTATCTCTCTCTCGCGCTCCCTCTCTCTCATTATCTGTCTGTCTGTCTGTCTTCACGCAGGTAAATAAATACAATGTTATCCCCCGTATCGTACGCATGGGACGCTTGTCACTCGTGTGGCACATCCGCCTCCTTCCCACCTTCCTTCCCCCCTCCCATCAACTCATCCAGACTAGCTCAGACTCAGACTGATCCACAGTCAGAACACTGAGTTCACACTCGCACCACTCGTGCGCAAACTCACTCACGCTCAGATCCATTGATACTCGGAGTCGCCACCGCTCAGATCTACTGATACTCAGCAACTCCCAGCCCTATCCACTCATACCCTGCCCAGTTATATTCATACTCATATACACATACCACATACCGTATGGCCGCTCACAGTCACCCCGTGGTCACTGCAACGTAGCAAACGTGGCAGCTGGGAAGCCGCCAAGGAGGGCGACATTCACCCGATCGCGCCCAGAGTGGGATGTTCCCAGCGGTTTGCTTTGTTTTGCCCTCAGGTCCCTTCCTGTTGAGAGCCCAATGCCCACCGAGGCATAGCAGGCGTGGCACTTGGGCACCCCAAGGGGGAGAGCCGCCAGGGAGGGGGACATTCGCCCGTTCACGCCCAGATTTTGGGAATGTCTGAGGAGGTTTGCCTGCGTTTGCCCCCGGTCTCGTTTCTTTTGAAGGTCACGAGATCACCGCGCCACAGCAGGCGTGGCACTTGGGCCCCCCCACGGGTAGCCACCATGGACCAGGACACTCGTCCACTCACCCAGAATGTGGGGATGGTTGCTTGCTTTTGCCCTTCAGACTTGTGTCTTCTGAGCGACCGCGACATTGCAGGCGTGGCACTCGGGAACCTCAAGGGGCACCTAGCTGGGAGGGGGGGCACTCGCCCGTTTTCGCCGAGACTGCATGAATCGTTCAAGCGGCTTGCCTGCCTTTGACCCCCAGGACCTGCTACTGTTTCCAAGCCAAGTTATCACCGCGACATAGCAGGCTCTGCATTTAGGCACCCCAGGGGGGAGCCGCCAGGGACTGGGGCACTCGCCCACTCTCGCCCAGACTGGGGGGATGTCTCAAGCGGTGTGCCTGCTCTTGCCCTCCAGACTCCTGCAAAGTGAGAAGATCTTGAAATCCACGCGATCACCGCGACATAGCAGGCGCTGCACTTAGGCACCCCCAGGGGGAGCCGCCAGGGACGGGGACTTTCGCCCGTTCGCGCCCAGATTGTCGTGGTGCCTCATGGCGGTCTACTTGTTCCTGCTACCCCCATCAAAGGTTTTTGTCTTGCGAGAGCCCCGCGATCACCTCGACATCTCAGGCGTGGCACCTGGGCACCCCAGGGAGGAGCCGCCAGGGAGGGGGACACTCGCCCGTTCACGCTCCGATGGTGGTGATGTCTGGAGCGGTTCGCCTGTTCCTGACCCCCCCAAGACTCTTCTCTTGCGACAGCGTCATGATCATCGCGGCATAGCAGGCGCAACACTGGGGCACCCCAGGGGGGAACCGCCAGGGAGGGGGACGCTCGCCCGCTCGCGCCCAGATTGTGGTGATGCTTGGAGCGGGTTGCCCGCTTCGGCGCTTCGGACCCTTCTTTCTTGAAAGTGTTATGGGCATCGCGGTGTCGCAGGAATGGCTTTTAGGCACCCCCAAGGGGGAATTGCCTTTGGGGTGATGTCTCAAGCTGTTCGCCTTGTTTCGGCACCTCGGACCCCTCTTTTTTGAAATCCCCACGGCCATTGTGATGTAACAGACATAGCCCATGGGGTGTTGCATTTGCCAAGTCGTGCCAAGATCGTGCGAGTTCTTAGGCGAAGCGCTGGTTTAGGCTTCCCCAGGCCCCTCTCCTTTCAAAGCCCAATATCATCCCGGTGCAACAGGCATAGCACTTGGACACTCTTGGGGCGAGCTGCCAGGCAACGCGCAGTCGCCATATGTCAAGATTCCTCCTCACCCAGACACTCACAGACGTTCGCCAGGAAACGAGATGCACAGCTTGGGATGTCTGCGTCGAAATATGTGTTACATGGTGGACCTCCATATGTGTGAATTTGTTTAGCACATATATATATATATATATATATATGACCGCTTTTAACAAGCTGAAGTGACGTGCCAGGCCTTCGAGGGCTCGCAGTATCGACGTCATCCGTCGACGTGTATGCTCAAGTCTTTGAGGGCGCAGCCGCCCTCGCCTCATGCAAGCTCGAGGCATCGGACTTTCTCTTCTCGCACACCTCAGCGCCATAAGCGTTGCGCGCTGGTGGTGGCAGGCTGCGCCGTGGGTGCCGCCCCCGCCGCCCGCGCCCCCTTCCGGGGGAACCCCGTCTGCTGACGGGGCGGGCGCCGGGCCGGCTGAGGCGGAGGGCGTGGGCGCCTCGCCGCTGCTGGTGCCGCTTGCCGACTGCATCTCGGCCGCCATGGAGGCGCGAGAGGTGCAGGTCTGCCCTTCGCCGTGTACCCCTTGTCCGGCCTGCCCCGAGGCAGGCGACGCTGGGCTTTCGTGGTCAGTCCAGCTCGGCATCGGGCTCTTGGGGCTGATCTTCTTGGAGGCCGCGAAGCTGGTCCTGTCCGTCGCGGGGCGGCTCGTGGATCGGCTCCGTCGCGCGCTCTTCGCTGGTGCCCCGACGGCCCAGGCCAGCGGCGGGCAGCTGCCGCTTGGGCTGGAGCAGAAGCCGCCTGTCGCGGCGCGCCCGGCGGACGAGGAGCCGAACTTCGCGGAGCTCGCCGTTGAGCAGGCGCGGGCCAGCCGCCTCCGGCGGCTGCACTCGCGCTGATGGCGGGGGCTTTCTACGCGGTGAGGTACCGCGTGGCGGGGCCGCTGCTCTGGCACGGGCGGCTCACGTTGGGAGAGCGCGGCGCGTTGTCGTACATCGTGACGCCGGACTTCGAGGACTACGACGAGGGCAACGCGCCGGGGCCCGATGTGGCGGAGGTGGTCAGACTCGTGGGCCAGGGCGCGACGCCGGCGGCGCTGGTGGCTGGGCACGTTCATCGGTTTCGCCGGCTTCCCACGGCCGCCGAGGCCTGGGCGGCCATCGGCCGCGCGGTTGCTGCTGGGTGCCCGCCGCCCGCCCTCCAGATGCTGAACCTCGAGCTCGCGCCGGGGAGCGTGCTGGGCGTCGCTGCCGGCGTACACGCTCTGGCCAACCCAGGCGCGCCTGCTGCTGCCGGTGCCGCGGTGGCGGGCCCCGCCGGAGCCGCTGCTGGCGTGGCTGGTGGAGTCGGCGCCCTCGTGGCTGCGATGGGTGGGCCTCCTGGCGCCCCCGCAGTGCCAGGCGCCCTGGTGCCGCCCGCTGCTGGCGGCGCGGCGCCTGCTCCAGCGCTAGCCGCCCCAGGAGCGCTGGCCGTGCCAGCGCCCGCTGCGGCCGCACCAGCTGCGCCCGCGGCGCCGGCCCCAGCGCTGCCGCCGATGCCACCGGCACCCGGCCCAGCGGCCCCGGGGGCTGGTGTGGCGCCTCCCGATCCGCGTGTGCTGGCAGTCTGCTACGACATGTTGGGGCAGCGACACATTGAGTTCAGGGAGGGCGTGCTGCGGCTGGTAGAGCATCCCTGGCCAGACTGGAGGCTGACTGGTCCTAGGACCTGCCTCTGGGTCTGCCGCTTCATCTGTGAGCACGGCGGCACGCCCTTGTGGAGGCACACTTTGTTCAAGACGATGTTCCGCCTCGCGGACGCCGACGTGGGGGCGGTGGAGCACGAGGAGTGCTGCCGCATCCTGCAGGAGGGCGTCTGCTACGACCAGCTGAATGTGCCCTCCTTGGCCTCATATGAGGTCGTGTGCCGCTCATTGCAGGTGCAGGAGGAGAGGTATCGGCACCACCTTAACGAGGAGAACGACGACGAGAGCTACGACCGACACCTCTTCCTCGGGAACCAGCACTCCCGGGGAAACCTCTGCGTTTGCTCGCAGTTGCAGTCCTACGTGGCCGCCGAGCTGGCGCGCGAGGCTGCGCTGGCGAAGGAGCGCCGCAAGGCGCGCGAGGAACGAGCCCTCCCGAAGCCCGACGCCAAGAATAAATCTGGCAAGAAGGGCCAACGAGGGCAGGGAGGAGAGGGCTGAACGCCCCGCGGCGGGGAAATTGGGCGCCCCCCGCCGCGTCTGCTGCTGCCCGCCGGGCCCGCTGCTCTGCGAGGGCATGGAGGAAAGCCGCCAGCGCGACCTGTTCCCGCTGCCCGCTTTGGAGCTGCCGCCCGACAAGTTTTGCCAAGTACCTGCGAGCCGCTGTGTGGCCCGCCGCCGCCTCCGCGCCTCCCATGCTGATAAGTGGGCCGCCGAAGGCATCGACGTTCTGAATGACATGTATGGCAGTTTTGGTTCCAGCTCCGGCGTCCGCCCCAATGCAGGTCAGCGACTGGCCATGGAACACGTGCGCCACAGCTATCGGCGCGTTGGACCACCTCCTCCAGATCTTGACTCAGGACAGGGAGCCCTGAGCGCGCTCCTGTCAGGCGCGCCCGGCTACACTAGTGGTGGCGGGCCCGTCGCTCCCTTTGACGGCGACAAGATCGCCTGGCCGTCCATGACCAGCAAGCCGGTGTTTCTGACAGACTTGCTGGGCGATGTGGACGCCTCGTGGCTCAGGGATTGGAAGGGGCACATGCTGCGACCGCCCCAGGCCGCTCGGAGCCTCCGCGCGGAGGCCTGCTCGCGGGGCGCATACGTCGACCCGCTGCTGAAGCACAACGTTCGTGAATACGCTACCTTTCTGAGAGAGGCATGCTGACTTGGAAGCATGGTCGCGGCGGAGACCTCGGACTGTTTTTCGTCAGGCGCAAGGGCGAGCGTCTCAGGATAATATTCGACACGAGAGTCATCAACTGCGATTTCCTGCCGGCGCCGTCCACTCGTTTACCGACACCTTCGGCCTTCGGCTCTCTGGAGGCCGACCAGGAGGTGCTCATTGCCCCCGGGGATCTCGAGGCGGCCTTTTACCACATGCTGGTGCCGCCCGACATGGTGCACCACTTCTCGCTGCCGAGCCTGGGCGCCGGGCTGCTGCTCAGCTGCGGCGTGGCTGGGCTGCCGGCGGGAGCCGGGGAGCCCATCGCGCCCTGCTTGCGCGTCCTCCCCATGGGCTTCTCGTGGGCCCTGCGCCTGTGCCAGGGCGTGCTTCGCCGGGGCCTCAGCCTGGGCGGTTTTCCACCCAGCAGCCTCATCGAGGACGGTCAGCCTGGGCGACGGGCGCAGCCGGGGCAGCCGCCCGCGGCGGCAGGCTACGTGGGCAACTTTTTCGTGCTGGGCGCAGAGGCGGACGACACCAACCTTGGCGCTGAAGCCGTTCGGGGACAGCTTGAGAAGCTGGGGCTCGTGGTGCACGACCGGGTGCCTGCCTGTCGAGACGCGGAGTTTCTCGGCCTGAGCTTGTCCCACGGCCGCTTCCTGGCCACCAGACCGAAGTGCCTCTGGCGCCTGAGGCTGGCCATTGAGAAGCTGCTCCGCATTGGCAAGTGCAGCGGCACGCTCATGAAGGTCCTGCTCGGCCACATCAATTGGGCGGCGCTGCTCAGGCGCGAGGCCTTGTGCCTGGTGCAGGCCGCGTACGCCCTCGCCGCCAAAGCCGGCCCGCAGCCCATCGTGCTGTGGCAGGCCGTGCGGCGCGAGTTGCGGCAGGTGAGGTGCCTCCTGCCGCTGCTGCAGGCCGACGTGCTCGCGCCTTGGCACGCGCAGGTGACAGCCTCCGATGCGTCCGAGTTCGGGCTCGGCCTTGTCCGACGTCGACTCCCGACCGCAAGAGTCGCGGAGATCGGACGCCAGTCGGAGCGATGGCGGCATCGAGTCGAGGGGGGCGCTCGGGCCCGTGAAAGAGCGCTCGGTCACGCAGTCGCCCCATCACCTCCTCTGCCAAGTTCCTCAACGCCCGGCATGGCCGAATTCCGAGAGGTGGTCAGGGGCGAGACGGGCGGCAGGCCTCCAGAGCGATCCGACGTGGAAAAACACGAGGTCGATAGGGTAGAACATGATGCTCATCTCACCCTATCGCATTCGGGAGGCGCGGCCGTTCCACGCGCCGCCTCGGGGCCACGGGAGTTCTTGGACGTCCCGGAGACCAGCTTCGACGAAGTTCCCAGAGATGTTTAGGAGGCGTCGTCTTGGGCAGGGGTCGCAGCCGTGCAGATCTCGGAGGACATGAACATACTGGGCTTGGAGGGGGAGGCGTTGGTTCTAGCTGCCCGGCATCTTCTACGGAGTTCAGAGGCTTTCGGGAAACGCTTGGCAACCCTGGTGGACAACTTACCCTTAGCCTTAGCGGCCACGAAAGGACGGGCTCGGTCTCTTCATCTCAGAGGGCCTCTTCGGAAGTTGGCGGCTCTCAGCCTGGCCTCGGGGTCCAGCTTCTACACCCGCTGGATCGCCTCAGAGCTCAACCCGTCCGATCCGTACTTACGCGGGCTCCGAGGGTGGTTCTCCGGCCGCCGTTTGCCGCGGGCCCAGGCCTCCCCCAGCGCAGCAGCCGCGCCCGGGCTTGGGGGGCCTCGCGCTCCGCCCGATGCCTTGCCGCGCGCCCCGGGCGCCGGGGGGCAGCCGGCAGGCGGGCGCGCGGGCCAGCCTGGCGAGCAGGTTGCTGGTCGGCCGGAAGCCGATCGCGGGGCTCATTCCGCTGGAGCAGCTGGCAATCAAGGAGACAACCGAGGCCCTGCACCGCTCGGCGTGCCAGAAGTTTACGGGCCACTGCGCCCGCCGCCGGGCTTCGTGGAGCACGATCCGGGAGCTAGACCTCGCGGTGGTGGACTTCTTGAACAGCCAGTTCCTGGCAGGGGCGGCGGCGGCCGAGGGGGCCAGCTGCCGGCCGCGCTGGCCCACTTCCTGCCGGAGGTGCGCCGGGGAGGCAAGGCTGGCCTGGCGCAGAGCTGGCGCGCGGCCATTGCCTGGAAGCGGAGGGTGCCCAGCTTCACGCGGCGCCCGCTGCCGCGGTCGGCAGCTTTCGCGATAGCGGGGGTCGCCCTGGCCCTGGGGCGGACGCGGATGGCGCTGTGGATTGTGATATCGTTCGTGTGCTACCTAGGCCGTGCGAGTGTTTCAAGCTCAGAGCTCGGCACCTGGTGGGCTCCACGGCCACGGCCGGGCCTGCCTATCAGGCGCGGGGGCTCCCCCTCCACGACGCGGCGGAGGCCCAGCCGGGCAAGACGGGCCTTTTCGAGGAGTCCGTGCTGGTGGACTTGGACACGTGGCTCAACCCCCTGCTGCAGGCGCCCCAGCTGGCTTCGAAGCCGGACGAGCCCCTGTGGCCGTTCAGCCCTGCGGAGCTCCGCGCCGTCTTTGCCCGGGCTGTGACGCCGCTGGGCCTGGAGAGCTTGAGGCCGCACCTGCACTCCCTCAGGCACGGCGGCGCCTCCGACGATCTGCTGACCAGCCGCCGGACAGTCGAGCAGGGCAGGCGCCGCGGGCGCTGGAAGGCAGCCTCGCCCATGGCCAGGTACGCCAAGGAGTCGAAGCTGCCGCGCGAGATCGGCCTCGTTGCAGTCACGAGCTTCGCCTTCGGGGAGCTCGTGGAGCAGCGCTTCCAGCAGCTCGCGGAGCAGGGCTTCCTGCAGCCGGGGCTCATCAACAGGGCGCCGGGCCCCCTGAAGCTGCCTGCAGGTCAGGCGCCTCGCGGAGGCGGCGACCGCTGGGCCGCCGAGCCCCGGCTTCCGGAGCTCTCGCCGGGCGGCCCGCAAGCGGCCCGCGGCCGCCGAGGCAGGCGCGGGCCGAGTGCTCCGCCGCCGCTGAGCCGCTCGGCCACAGGCGTGGCTCGCCGGCTGCGGCGAGAGTTCCAGGCCGCCCTGCGAGGGGAGACTCGGCGGCGCCGCTGCGTCTTCCTGGAGCTCTTCGCCGGATCAGCAGGCGTGGGCCGACAGCTGCGGCAGGCCGGGTATGCCGTCGTGTCTTTGGACATCCAGATGGGCGTGCACGGGAACGTGTTGCTGAGAGTGGTTGAGAGGATCCTGAAGGGGTGGATCTCCTCCGGCGCGGTGCTGGGGGTCTGGCTCGGAACGCCGTGCACCACGTGGTCGCAGGCGTTGAGGCAGCCGCTTCGTTCTGTGTCCTGCCCCATGGGTCTCGCCTCTCTCACGGGCGCTCAACAAGCACGATTGAACGTTGGGAACGCAACCTTCCATGTGTCTTGTCGGTTGATTGACTGTTGTCGAAAAGCAGGGGTACCAGTGCATCTTGAGAACCCTGACGGGTCGTTGGTGTGGCAGGCTCCCCGTTTGCAGCTACTGAGACGCGCCGTCGATTGTTCTCAGGCTCGCCTGCGTCAGCGCCAATTCGGAACCCCTTGGAAGAAATGCACTCGTATAGTTGCTTGGCGAGGTGGCAGCCTCTTTCGTTTGCGAAGATGGTGCCATGCTGACGGCAAGCGGTGCTCTCGAACCGGCCTGCCGCACCAGGAGCTTTCAGAACACGCTCCTGGAGGTAAGCATTGGACTGCCATCGCCGCCGCCTATCCTCGCCAACTGTGCCGTGCCATCGCCCCGACCATGATCGATGCTGCTGAATCGCTGCGGGTATCTGTGTTGTGGAATAGATTTAAACTGTGAAATTTGCGAGGCTGATAGGGTAGAACATGCCACCCATCTTACCCCATCGCTTTCGGGAG